CTTTATTTAATTATTTGCAGTAGTCGATAACTAAAAACCCATCCAACTATTTGGTTTAGAATGTTTAAGAATTTGATTTCTTTTAATTGTGTTGAGTAAACGTGCTTAATAATCCGGCTAACCTTCCTTGCGATACGACCCGGTGTCGAATCTTTCGATTCTACTCCGGTAAAAAATACTTACAACACCGCTCGAACTCAACTTGAGTTCAGTCAAACTTAAAACTCAAGTCGAGCATTTCGATTTGGTTACAGTCCTAATGTCATGCCGCAGTTCACAGCTAATTTGCAAGTGGGGTACCTAAGAGCATCTGCAATGCTTTATGTCTAGTTTTGTCTATGTAGAATGTAAATGAACTTAAGTCTTGGATGACATGGACAAAAATATATAAAATTAACAAAATCTACTTCAATGCAAGGAGACTGAGTCTATACTTGGGTCTAAAATGGACTTAAGGTTAGACCAGGTCTCTTTTTCTTGCTGCCACATCAGCCAGACGTAGTCCACTTACACTTGTATTGGGAAACATATTTTTTTAGACTGAGTCTATTTTCGAGGTGACATTCAAATTATTTTGATTGAATCCAAAACATTGTGGATGCTGTAATAATCGTATGGCACGCGTTAAGGAGATACGATCACCGTCCACAAGCAAGTAATTTCCATTTCCAACCCAATAAATGGTGGGTGTGGACTGCGGATTGCCATTTTTGTGGTCGGATTCGTATACACACTGTTTCTGAGCACGTCAAATCCTCTCCACTCAACTTTCAGAAATCTCTCTCTCTCACACACACAAACACACACACACACACACACACACACACACAGACACATCGTCGTTTTCTTCTTTCCGATCCGGCGATGACGGTGATCCGTTTAGAGCTACGGTACAGAGTTCAGGTAACTTCGATCGTTTTGCTCAGCTCATGTCTGAAGCTCTCTCTTCAGTTGATTTCATATCAGCTCTCATAATTGCGACTGAAACATAATTCCCCTGCTGCGTGTTTCTTCTGAAGAAAAATCAGTTAGGGCAACTGTTTCTTGCTTTTCGATGAATTCTTTTTGTTAAATTTACTGCTTTTCAAGCACATCAATTAGCTAACTGTGTTGATATGTGATGAATTCTCATGTTTGTTTGTGTGCCGCTAGTGTGTGCGTCTGCTTGATTTAGGGTAAAACGGGATGAATAGTTTTAATCTGGTATTTGATCTGTGAATGTTCAGAAAGTAGTACATGTAGAAATGAGTATGGAAAATGCAAGACCATGGTGGATAAGATGAAGTGGAGTAGTACTACTGACTGTTTGGTATAAAGGCTTGAGATGGAATTAAAGGGACTCCTCAAAATTGATCTAATGTATACTATTGGCAAATCTTGGGCAAACAGAAATTTTGATTTTTAAATTTGATTTCCAGAAAACAAAGTAATAAAATTCACTGACGTTCGAATAGAATTTTTCCAGATTTGTATAACAGAGAGAAGTTGGTACAGAACTCGTGGTTTTATGCTGCTAACCCATAAAACAGAGTTTTAATGGGCGAATTGAATTGGCTCATTATCCAGTGTATTCACCTTTCCTTACACTATTAGGAGTTTATGTTCTTGGATATGCCTGGTTTAAAAATGGTGTTTGGTCATTGCTCTTGCCTAGCCTCTTCCGGATGTAGTTTTGAACTTCGCATGTTATCTTATGAAATTCTCAATCGATTTTGAAGCGAAAACTGAATGTCTTGCATCTCACCTTTTATAAGTGATTTGCAAAAGAACCATTGTACTAGATTTTAGAGAACTTTGTGCTTAATCAAGTATTTATTTTATTGCAGCTTTAATGTCCCATTAATTTGGAAGTTGAAGCTTGCACCCCACTGAAAACTGTTCTATTAGATGAATCTTCAAGTTCACAGATGCATCCGTTGGTTTGGAGTCCATCCGAACAAGGATGTGACATCACCCGCCATGTCATCAAGCACCTTGGTGGAGGCACCCACAACACATAGTGCTATGATTGACGGAAAAATCGAGAATAATTGGTGGTCTCTTTTCTCATTTATTCCTTGGGTTACGAGTGCTAGAGGTAATATTCAGTTGCCAACAACTGTAAACAAAGAGCTAAAAAAACGGGCACAGCCCCGCACTGAATACGCTGCCATACGATTCCGGCCCTACGTCTCGAAGGTCCCATGGCACACGGGCCCAAGAGGCTTTCTGTCACAGTTATTCCCAAGATATGGGCACTACTGTGGGCCTAATTGGTCCAGCGGTAAGGACAGTGGGTCCCTCGTGTGGGACAAACGCCCAATTGACTGGTTGGATTTTTGCTGCTATTGTCATGATATAGGTTATGACACACACGATCAGGCTGAGCTTCTCAAGGCCGACCTGGCTTTCTTGGAGTGCCTGGAGAGGCCACATATGAGCACGAGAGGAGATCCTCAGGTTGCTAGTCTCTACAAGTTTATGTGCATTTCAGGTAAATATGTTGTTTACTCTTTCTCAACAATTTGAGATGATCTTGATTACATTTCTTGCATTTCGAGTGATGGGTTTATCCTGTTGGGAAAATGCAGGTCTTAGAAATATCTTGATACCCTACAGGCAGAATCTTGTGAAGTTACGATCAGGAGAGCCATTGATTCCATTTGCATGGCTGAACAGTTTGAAATTGAACGATTTCTTGTCGAGAGTTAAAAGATTCAGCGTAAAAGAAAGCGGGTCGGATTAGTATTAACGAGAGACTGCCGAGTTTTTAGGTCTACTTCTCAAGAGATAGGTCATAGGTGCAGTGTGTTACGGATATGCCCGTGGACTATGTCTTGCAGTTTGGCATTAAACAAAAGCTTGTTGGTCGTGTGCATTTTATATTCTGAGCTGGGGCTAACTAGGTATCCTGGAATCTCGGACATATTCAGCAAGTTGTGTATATAGTGTATATAGCGAGCCACTGTATTTGCCTACTGCTCTTTTGTTGACAGCCTCCTAAACAACACGTGCTTTTAACAGTGTAATTTGATGTGTTCATGCTTGTTGGGTAAATAAAATGTGTTTTTGCGGAGAGCTGGAAATACGTTATTATGCTTGCTATATGATTTGGAATTGAGTAATTTTATCTTGTTGCTTTGAAAGTATTTGCTGCTCAAATTCTCCGCGGGACTGCGGGAAATAGCTTATATTGTGAATGAGGTGAGAAAGTTGCTAATATATGAATATATACTAGTGTGCACCCCGTGCGATGCACGGGAACAATATTAAATTAACAATATTATAAAGAGATCTCAAGTTTGAGTCACTCAATGACGAAAGTGGAAACTACTATTGATCTTATTTAAAAAGAGGAAGAAAAAAATAATTATAAATTAAAGAGGAGGATAAACAATACTTAAAAATTATAAATTAAAGATTCGGGATCACATAATGTAAAATTATTTTGTATAAGAGAGTATAAGTTTTACATTATTTTGTATAAGAGTATAAATTTGTATGTTTAATACTAAAAACACCTAAAATATTATATTAGTATATGTAAAAGTATTCAAATTTTCTATATTATTTTTGAAAGATATGCAGTCACTTAAGAGCATGCTTGGATATAAATTTGTTTTTGTTTTGATTTGGGTGGGTTAAATTTGAAAAAAGTAGGTATGGTTAGTTGTTAGTGGATATAATAAAATAATATTTAAAATAAAATAATTAAAATTAAATTGATGTAAAAGTAAGAGAGAGAAAATGTGATGTGATAGTTAGTTAAATTTATGTGAGTAGATGAATAGTGAATTAAGGTTGATGTTGTGTGTAAGAATGATTGATTGATATTATTTAATTATATTGATAATATTGATGATAGTGGGTTGAGTTAAAGTTGAGTTAAAAAAGTGGTTGAGTTAAAAATGTTTTAGAAGGAAAACATATCTAAAAACATTTGAATTTAACATTGTGTAAAAAAGATTTTTTTTAGATTATCTTTTAAAGAAAACATGTCTACAAATATTTAAATTTAACATCAATTATGTATATGTGTATATATATGTATGTATATATAGACGAATATGTAAAAAAAAATGTCTAAACAATTTGTTTAAAGTATCTAAAATATTATAAGCTAATTTAATACACACATTAGGTCAGATGATACGCGCTATTTCTATCTAAAAAAATTTGATTACACAATTATTATTATACTATTTACGTTGTTATCGAGGATGTATTGTTTGCTTATAATATTTGTAAAAAAATATTAGTAATTAGAACGATGAAAATTAGCTTTTTAGAGTAGATAATGGTTTTCTAATAGTAATTATGAATTGGTTTCCATTTTATTTTATTTTTTCTTTTTAAAAATAATTGATTTCTAATAGTAATTATGAATTGGTTTCTATTTTATTTTATTTTTTAAAATATGATAGATAAGTGATGAGATTTTTTAAACTCGTGAGACGTATGCAATGAGATTTTGTAACAAAGAATAAATAAACTCGTGTAGATTTATGCTATGAGATTTTATATGCTATCAATTATTTTTTAATATGATTTTGTAATGATAGATTTTTATATAATATCAACACAATTTGTTATTTTGTTAACCTATAAAATAAAAAAAAGGGAACCATCAGAAAAACTGGCGCCACATTTATTCATTAAATGATTTTGGCCGTAAATTTTGGTGGGAAGTCATAAAAAGGTTATTCTTTTTTATATAATGATAGATTTCAAAGGAAAAAAAAATATATATATTTCAAAAATATATATTTTAAAGCTTCACATACATTTTTGCAGTTTCTTTAGTAAGAATTAATTGATTTGTCTTTTTTTTTTTTTTTTTTTTTTTTTTTTTTTTTTTTTTTTTTTTTTTTTTTTCTTTCTTTTGCCCTTTGCCATTTTTCCGGCTTGGCCTTGTGGCATTTTGTTCCACCATTTCTCACTACCTTTTGGGACAAGGGACTCATGGAAAAAGCTTTTCCTTTTATTTTTCATCAAGAATCAATATTAAAATTGATGTGGTTGTTCCTCTTTTGAGGGCACAATAGCGTTTGGCTGCTTTTATTTATATTTTATTATGTTATTTTCAAAAACGAGTTGATTTGTGAATAAACTTCGAAATAACAAGTTAATAATACATTAATACTCATTTTATCTTATATTTTTAATTAAAAAATAAACTATCTAAAAGACTCTTGGGATATTATTAATAGCAAATTAGTAATACACTAATACAAATCCCATCTTAATTTATAACTAAAGTTTAGTTAATTAAATACAAATGAACAAACAAACTTTGCACATCTCCTAAAATCAACCATAATATTCTCGCACTATTATAACGACAGTTCAATCCATTTCGACATTGAACCGGCCAGTGACAGGTAGGTTCTAAACAGGGAACCGCCTGTTTAGTGAACCAACATGTATATGTACCCGGACCGGTTCAAGTTCACATGAAATGCGAACGTGAACGACCATTCTGAACTGAAACTAGTTTTTGGCCACGTCTACATGTGGAGGTATGGCTTAACTCATTCAGAGTTGAGAGGTTCGACGAAGAAAACAAGGAGGTCTGGAGGGAGACTCAAGAGACAATAGACGAGCTTCGAGACAAGGCGAGCATGTGGCCATATATAAACAACGGTTGCGTACGACAAGAAGTTTAAATGACGACGTTGTCACGTTAGTGATCTCGTTTGGAGACATGTCGATTCACTAAGACGTGTGGAAAATATAGACCCGACCTAGGTGGGTTGTTTCAAGATTACATGGGTTCGGAGGGGTGTATGAGCTCGAGGACGAACATGGGAAGGCATTGCCTCGAGAATGGAACGTGCTTCACTTGAAAAATCCGTTTTGTCAAAATTTCATTTTTTTTTTAATTTTATTTATTTTATTTAGAGTTGCATGAGTTATCTTTATAAAATATTTTAGCAGTTTTTTTTTTCTAATAAATGTTTATTTAATTTCTCAATTATGTGCTCCAAGTTGTTTTAGCACATCGTGATCGACCCGAAGCCTAGATAGGTCGAGCGGAGTACTTTGTTTTGGTCTGTGATCGACATGAAGTCTTTTGGGCTAGATCGGTCAACATACTTTTTTTGTTCCGCTGTGATCGACTTGAAGCCTTAAGCGCTAGGTCGGGCGAAGTGCTTTTCTTTGGTCTGTTGTGATTGGTTCACTGTTTTCGGTCTGAAGCCTTCAGAGCTAGGATGGGCGGGGTAATTAGTTTTGTTTCGTTGTGATCGACCTGAAGCCTTCATAGATAGGTTGGATAGGGTAATTTTCTTTTTTTAGTTGTGATCGACCTAGAGCCATCAGGGAGGTCGGTCGGGGTACATTGTTTCGGCCTGCTGCAAACAACCTGCAGCCTTCAGGACTAGGTCGGAAGGGGTAAATTTGTTGGTCTGCTGCAAACGATATGGATCCTTCAGTGCTAGGTCAGGAGGGATGCACTGTTTTGGCTGCTGTGAGCAACCTGTGGGGCTAGGTTGGAACGGGGTATGACCTATATAACCTCGTGATGCTATAGGTTGCGATATTCACTCAAGATGAAACATAATAGTTGATTATTTCAAAGCTTTTACGTGATAAGAGATTTGATTACACCATAAGTGACGTGTGATTGATTGAATGAAGTAGGAAAAATTAAGCACAACTACGATGTAGATCGAAATAAAAATAGTTCTTCATTGAACAAGATCCAAATACATAATACAAACTTAGAAAAGTTCATAATTTGCCCTATTCAAAAAAAAAGGCTGACTCGACTTGATTCTGGTTGGTCGGGGATTTTGCGGTAGGAAGCAGAGTTACCCCTCTGACTCAACCTTCTTCACAGCCAGCTTGAGGGGTGGCTTCCACCACGGGTAGTCCTCGGGGAGGTTCGATCGCCTGTTAAGCGGCCAGGTAGGGGTAGGTTCCCTATGATAACTGCATAATCATGTCTCGGTGAACCCTTGTTGGGCAGCCTATTCTTTGTGCCTATGGGCGGTCGCCATGACTTGGCACTACTATTAGGACTAGCTCGAATGAATCGACACTAGATTTCGGAAAATTTTCAGTAGCTCGTGCGTATAGGTGCCCAGGAATTGTCAACCCAACTCTGAGGCTAAAAAGCCAGAGTGACCTTCTAGGCGCAGGTTGTCAGCCTGGCCCTGATGATCATAGACAACCTCAATAGTTACGAGTTGGTGCTCCTCTGTCTGATCCTTGAGTTTCGTAATGGCATTCGTAAGCTTTAAATGTAGCTTTTTATTCGGGGCAACGTGGGTTTTCTACTGCTCGCTGATATCATTTCGTTGCTCTCGGCTGACCTCATTATCCTGGGCGTGAGAGGCACACAACTTGAGGAGTTCTTTTCGCAGGTCGACGAGATCCTCCTCCATCGCATTTTGATCATTGGGGCAAACTAGTTGCCAGCATAGAAAGGTTAGTTATGGTTCTACGAATTGTACATGACTGGTTGATAATTATATTGATATACCTGGGCGTGTTTTAGTGCGCCATAGCAATCTCGCACATGCAGTTTTCTTTCGAACCGCTTCACTTCGACCTCATGACGGTCGAAAAGAAGTTAGTACACCAGTTGTTGAGAGTCATTAGTAGCGAGCTCCTCCAACTACTGGATGAGCTAGGGCACTCAGGGGCAGAAGCAGCTTGGGCATTCTTCCTGGCCTCGAACGCATTAGTTATTGTCGGGGGCCTCCTTTATCGACTTGTTCCCACATGCACCAGAGCTCGTGTGAACAAGAAGAGTGGGGGGGTTGGGGATGGGGGGGTGGGGGTTAATTGATATATAGCATAGAGAGCATAGCTTGATTCTGGACCGGAATGATAAGTAAAAAAATGTGCGTTTTTTGTATATTTAATAGTGTATGTTTATAAGATTAATTTAATCACACATCTCTATTTTTTGACTTATTTATTATTTAGATGAATTCATGCACTTTGAGATTATTGTAATCTATATTCAACAATTTGAAAAATATTCGAAGATGTCAATGGATAAGAAATAGTTTGATTTGGGCCCACTTTGAAGTGAATTTGGTAGACATAATTTGAAGGGGTTTAGAGGATCAAATTTGCTGGGAGGATTTTTAAGAAGGGCAAATTTTCATCTTTACCATGTGATTTAAAAATAATTGTAACTGTACTATTGGGGAAATCTTAATTGCACATATACATAACTGAACATATATATGTACACATCTATCTAATCCTTAATTCCTAATCCTGCACATTACCAAATCCCTAATCTCTTCACATTGTAAAGTCCAAAACTGACATCACCGCTGCCCTCAATCGAGAAGCTCCAGGCCGCGTGCGACGGTCCATGGCTGCACTCAAAGGGGTTCCACGGTCGAGTGCGACGGTTCCACGAAAACTTCTGGTTGTTGCATGATGCACGGGATGGGAGCGACTGCCCTGATAGGGCCGGATGACGTCGAACTGCATCTCGCCGGTCTCGCGCTGCACGGAGGGAAACGAAAAGGCTGAGATTTCGTACTTTTCTGAAGGTGCGAGGGTGGTTGCGTGCTGCTCGCAAGCCGCCGGATAAAACTCGGGCTCGGGTGAGCAGGCTGAACGTGAAAGGACACGGGATATGCGCAAGGAAGAAGATGAATTATCAGATCTGAGTTTTTGTCGCAGATTAGCTGGCGATATCTATTTTTATAATGTGTATATATTTCGTGTATATATTCTGTGTATATATAAGTGTTGTATGTTATTTTATATATATTCTCGCAATACAATAATCTCTCAATGCAGAAACATAGTGGAGATATAAAGACTATATACAGAAGATATACAGACTATATACGAATGTCCTTTTTTTTCAGTTTGTTCACCACATCAACAAACTCATCGTTGATCAGCATTTCGTCCCATGTCAATCTTTTAATCTTATGCAAAATCGGGATCTTGTTCGGGGTTTGCCTTTACAAAAGTGTGAGACTATTTATTCTGTTGTGATCGCTTCTTCTGCGACTGTTCTTCCTCGTTGGGCTTGATTGGGCCATCTCGCCTCGCGAGCAAGGAACTTATGTGCTTTGCCGGCGACGGTGGCGGGCAAGGGTGCTTCAGAAGGCGCAGAGGGGCCGAGAGGATGCCGTTCGAGTTCGCGGGCGAGTTCTTGAACGCGCTAGGGAGTGGATTGTAAAAGGGGAATTATGATATATCTACAAATAAAAGTATGATTTTAAGTAGGATTGCTAATATTTAGCATAGTTGTTTAATTGTGCAATAAACACTGAAATGTATGGTCTAAGGGTAATTTTCTCTTTTAAGAAGAGAGGCGCAAACATATTTTGGTGAAGAGGAGTTTTGATTAGTGGGTGTCACTGGGAATTATTTGGGGGAAAACAAACACATAGCATCATATT